GATTACAAATCCTTCGTGGTGCTGTGACCAATGCAGAACAGAAAGTAAATCATTCTCTCCATGTGTTCTCTAAACTACAAGAACACCAGTGGTTAAGATTTGGTGGAGACAGATGTTTGGGAGAAAATACCTAACATTTTAAGGGTTTGTGGTAATCAATTTGTTTACGTTATAAGACTGCTTTTTATTTGCAATGTTTCTGAATATATTGAGATTATTTGTATTTGTCTCTCTCTGAAAAATAAATGATGCTGACAATAACCTTTGTTGTGGATTATGGGATTTTTAGACAACTCAAATGAGACTGCTCATTTCTTTACATATGATCTGGGAAGATCTTACTCAGCTATTGAAAACTCTGGAAGCATAGAGGTGCTCCTACTTATCATTTTTCTCTTTCTCTTTTTAAACTAATAGAAAATCACATTATCAAAGGAATCTCTTATATTTAGTTTGAAGTGGAGCTGATATCAGGCAGCTATAAAGCAATCGGGAAATGTGCTGGGAGCTAAGGCTCATTCTCTGGGAAAGGAGGGACCTAGCCCACTATGTCAGGGAGTCAGTCATATTGCATATAGCTGCTTTGATATAGGGAGTGCGTTTGCTCTCATATACAGAGACAGAATAACAATGTGGTTAAGAATTTAGATTTCAAAGTTAGATATATCAGGCTTTAATTCCAAATTCTGTGACTTACTACCTGAGTGAGCATGCATAGGTTATTTAACTTCTCTGTGTGTCTCAGGATGCACACATACACAAACACACCCATTCACACGCTTTAAAATTTTGAATTGGCCATACAATCAAATGATTTTAGAACCAAAACAATATGAAAAGATATAAAATTACAATCTTGTTTTTACCACTCTCCCTAATCACTCCTTCCCATTCCATTTAAAACATAACTAGTTGTGTAACGTTTTGGACTTCTTACGCAAGTGCGAATACAAATATATATTTGTTTTTCTTTCTATTTTATACTAAAGCTGGCAAGCTGAACTTGCAGATCTGAAAGTCTCATTTTTTACTCACTATGTCTTAGAAAACATGACAGGTTGTATATGGGAGAATTTGTGACTAAGGTGGAAGTAAAACTATAGACTTTGGAGGTTAGGTCATAAAGGGAGTTTTGGTTTCCTTCTGTTTCTTGCAGGATGTTTGTTCTTGGATCCAGCAACCATGTTGTAGAAAAGGCCAACCAATCTAGGTTGAAAGGAACCATGGGCTATTGTCCAGAGCTCTATTGAAGCCTCTAGTTGATGGGCAGCACTTACCTACTTCAGGTGTTTGAATGAGTCACCTTGAAAGTGGCAACTCCAGCCCCTAGTTGAGTGACTTCAGCTGGTGTTGCATGAAGCAGCAATGATTGTTCTTGCTTAGACCTGCCCAAACAGACATTCATACAAAACATAAATGATTGTTATTGTTTTCAAGTCATTATGTTTTGGGGTAGGTTGTTAGTATTAGATATTTGTGATAGACTTATAGTTTATTTTACCATTATTTTTTGTTGACGGACACTTGGATTTTTTTCTAATTATTTGCTATTACAAACAAAGCTGCAATGAGTACATCCCTACATACCTCCTATCATATATGGGTATGTATATTTTTAGGATAAAATGTCAGAAGTAGGATTTATAAGATGAAGAATATATACCATTTTAAATATTTCAAAAGCACTACCAAATTTCCCTCTATAACAGGGTTTTTAAAATAATTTGTAAAGTAGAATTTATTTTATAAAAGTACAGTGAGATTAAATGATATAATCCATAGTATGGCAGAAGACACTGTCCTAGAATAGTAAATTCTCAATAAATGATACAAGACAAAACGATCTCCAATGAACTACTTTTTGATACTTAATGTGAAGACTTTGTTACTTTGATTTTCACTTTGTTTAATAATGCTATCCCTGTTTGCTGACTATACAATCTTGTATCTAGAAAACTTTAAAGATTCTGCCAAAAAAATCCTAAAAGTGATAAAAATTCAACAAAGTTTCAACTTACAAAATCAATGTGCACAAATAAGTAGCATTTCTATATACTAATAACAGTCAAGCTGACAGTCAAATCAGGGACTCAATAAATACCATTCACAACAACTACAAAGAACACAAAATACCTAGGAATGTACTTATCCAAGGAGGTGAAAGATCTCTAAAAGGGGAACTACAAAACACTCATCCAAGAAATTTCAGAGGACACAAACAAATGGAAAAACATTTCTTGCTCATGGATTGGCAGAATCAACATCATTATAATGTCCATACTATACAAAGAGATTTACAGATTCAATACAATTACCATCAGAATGCTTACAGCATATTTCACAGATCTAGAAAAAATAATTCTATGCTTCATTTGGAACCCAAAAGAGCTTGAATTGGCAAAGCAATCTGAAACAAAAAAAACAAATCTAGAGGCATCACATTACCAGACTTCAAACTCTTCTACAAGGCTATAGTCCAAAACAGCATGGTATTGGCACAAAAATAGAGACATAGACCAATGAAGCAGGACAGAGAACCCATATGTAAAATCTTCCACATATGGCCATCTGATCTTTGGCAAAATAGGCAACAGTATACACTGGGGAAAAGAAGCCCTATTCAATAAATGGTGCTGGGAAGATTGGATAGCTACATGCAGAAGAATGAAACAGGACCCATATCTCTCACAACTCACAAAAATTAATTCAAGGTAGACAAAAGGCTTAAATATCAGGCATGAAACTATAAGAATTCTAGAAGAAAATGTAGAAAAAACTCTTCTAGATATCAGTTTAGACAAAGAAGGTATGTGTACTTTTAATCTTTTACATCATTCTTGTCACAAAAATAAGACACTATTATTTTCCAAAAAGTAGATTTTCCTTTTGAAAAATTAGTTTTCTTTCTAATAAGTATCTTATTTATTTGTTGTTGTAGTTAAAGTATCGATATTAGTTTGTTTTCCAGAGAACAAATGAATAGAATATAGATTGTGTTTTTGGTATACATGGGTAGATGAGGAGGTGTTTTTTTATTGGGGAAATTATCTCACACAATTATGGAGGCTGAGAAGTTCCACAATAGGCTACCAGCAAGTTGGAGAACCAAGGGAAGCCATGTTGTGTTGTCAGTGCAAGTCTGAAGGCCTCAGAACCAAGCAAATGCGAGTTTACTTAGTTTGTATGTTGAAGGCCTGAGAAAGTGGGGGCTGCTTGTGTAAGTCCTGGAGTTCAAAGGCTGAAGAACCTGGAGTTTTGATGTCCAAGGGCAGCAAGAGAAGCATTTGTCCCAGCGCTTCAGGAATGAGAGAGTGTGTTTTTTGTGGGGGTGGAGATGTGTGTGTGTGTGTGTGTGTGTGTGTGAGAGGGGGAGAGTTGGAGGCGATTTTTTTTGTTTTGTGTTTATAGAGTTAAGGGAGGATTTTTTTTGAGGAAAGAGAGAGAGAATTCACCATTCCTCTGCCTTTTGTTCTAAATTTTAGGTCTAAAAACTTTAATGAATCATTTGGATACATCCAAATATTCATATATTTGACAATATTGAAGGAAATCTTTGGTTTTCTATTATACTGTTCATCCATATTTTTGTCATTGTTTACATGAAAAGGTTATTCTGGACATGCCAAGAGAAATTAGTGGTTAAAGAAGACAATTATGTGTATTCAAATACCAAAATTCAAATAAATTCCTGCACAATTTCAAACAAATGACAAAGAAAACATTCATATATTTTTCAATAGAGAACTTTCCCTATTTTTCAATAGAGAACTTTCCCTTGAGGATACAATATAAATAGCCTAGATAATATGTTATTGCCTTAACATAAAGCTTACAGTTTCTCTCTCTCTCTAATTGAATAAAGTCACAAAAGAGTCTAATTACTTGCTCAGAAACGTAAGACATTAATGGCTGAGCATGAAGATAAATTCTAATTTTCTGACATTCACTATGCCAGCGCTTATAACTTTTAATTAAATAAATTTAAGAAATAGCAACTAATTTATTGACGTTAGGTAAAGTCTTACAAATTTGGGCAGTGTCTGCAAAGAACATATCTTCTCAACTTTGTTGGACCAGAATCTTCAATTTGTCCATTCAATAAGTAGTTTAAGATTCAAAATGCATTTTCTGTAAAAAGAATTATCTATAAATCAGATAGTAAAAATAGTTTTGATGTGTTCCAGTCTCTCTGTTATGTGCTTCATTATATACCACACTTAATTTCCAAAATTCTATAAAATAGCCAGGATTAACCTCATTTTTTAGATAAGAAACTGAGCCCCGATGAAATTAAACTATTTCCCCTAGGTCACAGAGTTTGTTAGCGGCAAAATAGATACAGCAAATCACTGGCAAGTTAATTCTTTAAGGGCATGTACTCAGTCTTGTCCATAGATGTATCTTTAATCGGCTTCATATGAGGTCTTAATAAATACTTGTTGACCTTTTTAAGCTTTCTTATTCAAAGGCCAAGGCTGTTTTGACTATGATACTGTATCAATACATTCATTTAAAAACAGGATAAATCTTTCCAGCCACCAGAATAGCTACCCATCCACAATATCAATATATGAAATTAATAATTATAAAATCAACTGATATGTGAGGTGGAGTATATTTTATCTAGGTCAGTAAAAGACAAAGGATTTATATATATTGCCTATAATATATCTCCCAGACAGTGGTAAAATAACCCTGGAGAATTTTATTTTAATGCTGGTTTTTATCCACCACAATAAGTATCATTATTTCATGCCAATCAAAATAAGTATATCACAACTTTCCTTCACATCAATCATATTTCAGTCATATCTTTTTGAGGATTCATCTCCAATTTGTTTTATAAAAATGTTCAAATGTATTTAAAAGTAGAGAGAATAGCCATCACCATATTTAAAAATTATGAAGATTTTGGCACCTGTTTTTATCTATTTCAGCTTTTTTTCCCTAAAATAAATAAAATCTCATACTTTGTGTCATTTTATAAAATGTTTTTATAGATTCAAGAGACATCCTGAAGATCAGTTGCTTAGAAGAACTGATCAAAACTGGTGTTAGAGCAGATAAAGGTAAGTTGCTTAGAATGATTCTAAATCATTTTTTTCTGACTCATTTATGATTTATGATTACCTTCTGAAGGTAAATTCTATTCTAGTCAAGAGAGGACAGCTTTATGTTGTAGTAACAACCCCCAAATCTCAACAGATCAAAAACTTCTTGTAGCAGTCAGTGGATTTCTGGTGTCGTCCCCAGCCCCAGCCCTCAAGGCAGGAGATGAGCGAGCTGCAGCTAAAGTAAAGCTGCACCTGCACCCACAGCTTGTCCCCATGGCTCCATCACTGCCTGAGCCCGTCCCTGGTCAGATCAGCAGCAGCATCAGACCCTCGGGGAGCGTGAACCCTACTGTAAACTGCTCATCCGAGGGATCCAGGTTGACCCACCCCCCCATCCAGCGCCTGATGATCTGAGGTGGAGCCCAGGTGGAAGCCAAGCCCCCGACCCTCCTCTGGGTGTCAAAAAGATTGGGGACTGCTGGCCTAAAAGACACAAAAATACATACCTGTGAGAGATGAGTACAGCAGAAGTTTTTAATAGTTAAGTATTTTAATACTGGGATTATATTTGAATGTAGGAAGTAAAACAGCTCTGGCACCAGGTAAACAAGGAAAGGAGCATGATATCCTGAGAGAAGTGGAGCAGAAGCAAGACCACAGCTCTAACTTAAGTCCCCACAGTGAGAGAAGAGAGTGCATCTCTTCTGTATATTGCGTATGGAATTCAACATGTAAATACTTTTAGTATTTCTATAGATGATTTGGATTCATTTAAGCAAATGATTTGCTTCTGAAGTCTCATTGAGTCACTTCCCGACACATACCGTGTTTCCCTGAAAATAAGACCTATCCATAAAATAACCCCTAGCAGGATTTTTAAGCATTTGTGCAATATAAGCCCTACCCCGAAAATAAGACCTAGTGATGGGCGTGGCTATGCAGCGTATCTGCACAACCCATGCTTTCGTGGTGGAGTAGTAAAGAAGATGATCAGCCCTTTTCATTTACCCCATGGTGACAGCTACTATTCCAGAGGTGACTGGAAATGTGAGGGCAGCCCCACCAACAAGGTCGGCTCCCCCTGTCAGGTCCCCGCCATCCTGTGCGTGCTGCAAGCTGAGGCTTTGAGGGGAAAATAACACATCCCCTGAAAATAAGCCCTAGGGTGTCTTCTTGAGGAAAAATAAATATAAGACCCTGTCTTATTTTTGGAGAAACAAAGTACCTGAAATCAGACACATCTAACAACAAATTCATTAGCTGTGGCTGAACAATATGATTGCTGTCCTAGAAACAGCTCTTGCATAAATGATTCCTGATGAAAGAATGCCTCACTTAGGACTGTGGGTCTGCTAGTGTTTTTAGCTACAGAGTAGAGAGGAAGAGGGTAATAAAGGTGGTATCATAGGAGTAATGTTTATTATCCATAATTTTTTTTTCCTTCAGGGATATTTATTGTTATGGACTGAATGATTGTGTCCCCTCCCAATTTTTATGTTGAGATCCTAACTCCCAACATGATCTTACTAGGGAGAGGGTCCCTTGGAAGGTGATTAAGTTGTGAGACTGGAGCCCTCATCAATGAGACTAATGATCTTATAAGAGACTCCAGAGAGCTTCCTTTTCCTCTCCTGCCATTTGAGGGTATGGTGAGAAGACCACCATCTATGATCCAAGAACAGGCCCTTGCCAGACACTGAATATGCCAGCACCTTCATCTCAGATGTTCCAGCTCCAGAATTGTGAGAAATAAATGTTTCTTGTGTAAGCCAGCCAGTCTGTGCTATTTTGTTACAGTAGATTGGGCATGCTGACTTTTACCAAAGAAAGAACAAAAGAAAGGCAAACCCTTGCTGCCCTATCTCTCTATGAACAAGTAAATGTAAATGGCTAGTTTTTTAAACATTTGCAGGTACTCTTTATTTGGAAAAAAAAAGAAAGATAATAATATCAATCTCATAGTGTAGTTATAAGGACACAATGAGCTAATGTTATGTAAAATCTTTAGAAGAGTGTCTACTTCATGGTCAGTACTTAATATTTATATTGAGATTATCATTTTAATTATTATTATAGACAGAAAGTATTTTAGGTATGTAGAATGGACACCATAGTTCATTATTTTATGGATATTTATTGCTATTTGTCAGGCATTGTGCTATGTGATTGAGTTGCAGGTATTTATGATAATGATGCTACCCTTAAATATAAGGGAGATGGACTAGTTTAACAAATAATTAAAATGATATATAATAAACATAAAAATACAAATATATGCAAGGTTCTTTGAAAATAATGATGGTGATTGGGATGGACACATATACAGAAAAAAATGAGTGGTGGTTATGTTGAGATGAATTGCTTAGAGTGAGTCTATATCTTTTTCTTTCTTTTTTTCTGACAGTGAAAAGCAATGGTTTAAAGCTAACTTGTCCTGGATTGTTGCAGGATTTTTCATTAAAATTGATCTTGCCAATTTTAGTGAAGGCTGACAGTAAAGAATAAGGAAAATTACATCAGTGTATACTTATAAATCTTAGTGATTCTCCTGGGCATTTTGAGATGACCTGACTGATAGTGAACTCTTAACTTTACAGTCTTAAGTGTATTTTGTTTTCTGGCTTCTCAGCATCTCTGCTGACAAAGTAGGGAGGCTTCATTCCCCTTTGTTTCTGTTTTAATGAGTTCCTGACACAGACAGGACATTATACCTACACCTCAAATGGGTAAAATGTCCAGATAACTTGTACACATCCATTCTTAATTCCCTTTTTTGTTCTTTATTTACCAGGACAGCTAGCTCTTAGTTTTCAATCCTTTTATCCTTTGCCTCTTTACTGGCTTGCTATAGTTATTTTCAGGAAAACTATGTACCATAATTAAAGCTACCTTTGATCAGCATGTACCAACAGAGACTATGCTAAGTGCTTTATGTTGTATATGTATGCATAGGCATTTATGTATATGTGTGTGTGTGTGCAGATGTGTGTGGCATTTCTTTTTCATTGAATTGCCCTCATACTTTTGTCAAAAATAAGTTGACCATGACAATGAGACATCACGTCACTCCACTGGGATAGCTATAATTAAAAGACAGATAAGTATTGGCAAGGATGTGGAGAAATACTGCTCTTTAGAAAAGTAAAATGGTTCAGTTTCTTTAGAAAACCATTTGACAACTTCTTCATATTGAACACAGAGTTACCATAGGGCTCAGCAATTCCACTATTAGATATGTACCCAAGAGAAATGGAAACATATGTCAATATCAAACATTTGTACAAGAATGTCCATAGCAGCATCATTCATTTATCCATTGAATACCCAAGAAGTAGAAACAGTCCAAATGTCTATCACCTGCTGAATGGGCAATTAATGTGGTATATCCATACAGTGGAATATTAACTTGGTATGGAAAAAATGAAGTACCTATATATGCTATAACATGGATGAACCTTGAAAACATTATGCTAAGTGAAAGAAATCTGTCATAAAAAGCAACATATTACACCATTCCATTTATGTAAAATGTCCAGAATAGGCAAATATATGGAGACAGAGAGTAGAATAGTGGTTGCATAATGCTGAGAGGAAATTGGGGAGTAATGGAGCATGACTATTAAAGAATACATACTTTTTTCCTTGGGAGATGAAAATATTCTAAAATTGGTTGAGGGTGACAGTTACATAACTGTGTATGTTCTAAAAACCATTGATTTATACGTTTTAAATCAGTGATATGTGTGGTATGTGAATTATATCTCAATAAAGATATAAAAATCAATTGACTATATTGATGTGAGTCTGTCTATGGACTTTTTATTCTGTCTCATTGATCAATTTCTCTACCATAACACCGATATCAAATTATTTTGATTGTTGCAGTTTTAAAGTAAGTATTGAAATCATGTAGTGGATTCCTCCCACTTTGTTCATTATCAAAATTGATTTATTTTATTAATCTAGCTCCTTGGACTTTCCATATAATAGCTAGAATCAGCTTGTCAATATTTATAAAAATAACTTGCATGAATTTGGGAATGAGATTGGGTTGAATCTATAGGACGATATGGGAAGAATTGACATCATAAAATATGACTCTTCCAAGGTATATATATGGCATGTTAATTATGTATTCTTTGATATCTTTCATCAGTATTTTATAGCTTCAACATACAGATTCTGTACATATTTTGTTAAATTTACACCTAAGTATTTTGGTGTTATTTTAAGTGGAATTTTATTTATTTATTTTTTTGGAGACAGAGTCTCACTTTGTTGCCCAGGCTAGAGTGAGTGTCGTGGCGTCAGCCTAGTTCACAGCAACCTCAAACTCCTGGGCTCAAGTGATCCTTCTGCCTCAGCCTCCCGAGTAGCTGGGACTACAGGCATGCGCCACCATGCCCGGCTAATTTTTTTTATATATATTAGTTGGCCAATTAATTTCTTTCTATTTATAGTAGAGATGGGGTCTCACTCTTGCTCAGGCTGGTTTCGAACTCCTGACCTTGAGCAATCCACTCGCCTCAGGCTCCCAGAGTGCTAGGATTACAGGCATGAGCCACCACACCCAGCCTTAAGTGTAATTTTTAAAAAAAATTTCAAATTTCATTGCTAGTGCATAGAAATATAATTGAGTTTTGTATATGGTCTTGTATCCTGTGCCTTTGCAAACTCATTTGTTAGTTATAGGAGCCAGAATAAAGAACATTTTATTTTTTCCTTTCTAATCCATGTAACTGTACTATTTTTTTTTTTTTGCCTTAGTCCACTCAATAGAAATTGCAGTACAATGTTGCATAAGGATGCTGAGTGAGTATGTTCTTGCTTTGTTCCAAACCTAGAAGGAAAGCCAGTTTCATTTACTGTTGAGGAGGATGTGAGTGATAGGTTTTTTTCCAGCTGTTTTTATAATGAATGGATATTGAATTTTGCCAAATGTTTTCTGCACCAATTAACAAAATGATGTGATCTTTTTTCTTTAAATTATTAGCATAGTAGATTACATTGATTGACTTTCAAATATTTCATCAGCCTTGCATTCTGGGGATAAATTCTGCTTGGTTGTGATGTATTATTCTCTTTTTTTAAAATCGCTGGATTTGGTTTGCTGATATTTTATTGAGAGTTTTTGAGTCTATGCTCCTGAGAGATATTAGTCTTTAATTTTCATGTCTTGTAATGTACAAGTTTTGGTAATGCTGTTCTTATAAAATGAGTTGGGAAGTATAGTACATACTGTGATTTCCTGGGTGATATTATTTAAATTTGGTATTATTTCTTTCTCAAATATTTGCTAGAATTCACTAGAGAAATTATCTCGACCTGGAGTTTTTTTGTTTTGTTTTTTGTTTGTTTGTTTTGGTTTTTTGGACAGGTTTTACCGGGAAATTGATTTCATTAATAGGCTTAAAAGAAGAAAAGTAGTTTATTATATATACCAAGACATTTACCATTTCTGTTGGGCTTTCTTCTATACTGAATTTCCAAGTTTCTCTCTGCATCATCTCATCTTTATCTGAGAATATCTGCATTATGTCATTCTTCCTGAAAGATATTTTCATTAGATATAAAATTCTTAGTTGACATTTCCTTAATTTAGCATATTAAAGATGTTTTCCCACCATCTTCTGGCCTCTATGTTTCTTAATGTGATATACTGTCTTTTCTGGTTGATTTTAGGTTTTCATTTGGTTCTCAGCAGGTTGATTATAATGTGTCTGGGTGAGCTTTTCTTTGAGTTCATCCTGTTTGAGGTTAGCCAATGTTTTGAGTCTATATATTTATATCTTTTGCTAACTTTGTGATATTTTTGACCGTTATTTTATAAATAATTTTCTGCAAAAATATTTTTCCTCTTCCTTTAGGATTTTGATGACACAAATATAAGGCCTTTTATTATTGTTCCACAGGTCCCTGAGTTTCTGTTTCCATTAAAAAAATATTGTTTTTCTATTTATTTTTCAGATTTGATAATTTCTATTGACATATCTTCAGGTCCACTAACTTTCACCTCTATCGTGTCCATTCTGCTACTTAGTATACCCAGTACATTTTTATTTTATTTTACTTTTCTGATATTTTATATAGATATGCTATTTTTTGGTTGTGATCTTTCATTTGTCTTTTAAAAAATCCTATTTCTCTGCTGATGACTTCTACCTTTCCATCCATTTAATGTATTCACCTTTATGTCATGGAACATAAATATAATAGCTGATCTAAAGTTTTTGTCTGAAAATTCCAACATCTGGATCCTCTTGAGGTTGGCATGTGTTGACTATTCTTTCCCTTCAGAATTAGTCACATTTCCTGTATTTTTTTGTTGTTGAATAATTTTAAATTATATCCCAGACATCTCGAATACTAGTTTTAAGACTCCATGTTTTGTTTAAAATTTTTTAGAGAATGTTGTGTTATGTTTTTGTCACATTGTGTTTAGATTAAAAGTATAGTCTCTTCTTCTAACTCCTTCTGGACAGTAGTTTCCATGTCAGTTCAGTTATCAAAGCCCTTGCTGTGATACTTTTTGTATGTTTCCTATTTTTATAGCTTGGAGAGGAGCCTAGGGCATATTGAGAGATCCCCTTCTCTGGCTTAGTCCTCTTTGGAATGTCCCTCTTACTTCTGCATCCAGGTTCTTCTTTTCCCAGTCCTCTGTCTAGAAGGATGGGATTGCTCCCAGAGATTCAGCAACCCATGTTGCTCTCACAGTTCTGTCTGAATG